ATACATTGAAAAAGTTACGGGGAGTCAGTAACTATTCTGACGTATTCTGCATATCTCGTTTCAAAATTTTGTTCACCAAGATGTCTTTGCATTTGTAATATCAAAACTTTATATTATCGTGAGTGAATGTATTATAATAAACGAAAACAGAAAAATTCTATTGAATTTTCTTCTAAGGACATGCCTGCAAATTGCACTGGAGTTGTTGAAGTCAGTTTAAAAATTACAAGTAAGGTAAATGATGAGACAGGCAATAAAATTAATAATTATTCCACCAGCTGGGAGCAATTTCCTAAATGAAAATGGTGTAAATATCAAAATGGTGGTATAAATATAAAAAAATCTAATCTGCAAAAACGAAAGTGGATGTTTTGGTTCAAAACAATATTCTTTCAGCGGCAGCAGCGCCCGATCTAGAGGGGGGGGGGAAACCGGGAAATTGCCCGGGGCGGCAAAAATAGGTTAAAATTATACCATCTATGGAATAACACATGGACACATGAGTAAAAGACGGCAAATATTANTCAGGATTATTTAAGTACTTCAATTATGCCGATAGTTAATTGAAATTGTAAAATCTAGTTTCCGAAAATGAAATTCCTTCAGACACTTTATTTATGTTTACTCAAGTTTCTACCAAACTCTTGGTAAATGAGTTTTAGATTGTTCTGAAAAATCATTCAATAACAATAAATAACAAATTAATGTTGAAATCCATCACTTTTTACCTTTTTCATGAGCAGTGAGAATCTTGCTAAACTTGCAAAAATATCTCGTTGAAAGCATACGACGCTTCTGCTTCTTCCTGCAGGAGCAGTGGATCAGTAAGAACTTCACTGTCCATGAAAATGTATCGGGTTACATAAGCCCACCAGTTAAAAAAATAAAAATATAACAAAGGAGGCGGCACAACATAGAATTGAAAATTATTCTGCCTAAATGGATATGGTTGTATTTATGTCAACAAGAAACCGCCTAATATGCAAAAACAGATGTGGACGTTTTGGTTCATCATAATATTTTTTGTGCTTCCACTAAATACATTTCATGAGTTTCTACCACAGAAACAATCAGAATTATAAGTAAATTAGGCGGGAAATATTGCGCATCGTCGTGGCGTATCCTCAATCTGGACTCAAATTGGCATGTTTCTGATTACATTGATTTAGTCGATTTTTAGCTCCATCATAGTGATATTGTGTTAATTGTACCTACCTATACCCGAGAAAGTGTTATAGTTAATATTTTGTTTGAAATGGAGAAGCATTTTGTTAGTGGCGGATGTGTGTGTGTGTGCCGCAAGGAACTGTTTCAATAATTATAACAAAAACAGATTTCAATATTTTTTAGTTTCCCTCAATTAAAGTCATTCGTTGACTCAAAAGGTATAATAATAATGTCTTTATTTTTATCCGATATACTGCTCTACTTAATGCTTGAGTATCATTTACAAATATTCTATATTGTAAACACTTTCAAAAGCAATTATAACTAATATAGTTAATAATTCTACTTAAATTAAAGAAGGGGACGATGAAGTTCCTCTTCTCGAAAACAGCTTCGGTACGGAGTTTTCTGCAGGTCTTCGATTGACTGGGTTTCCTGAAGTTCTAGGAGCCGCTCTGCTTTCACAAAGGTTCGATTGCCAATTAATCGTTGAAACGAAAATCTCTCGTACGATACGCGTAATTCTGACAATCCTACTGTCGACTGCGCCAATTAACTATCGACGGCACTAAACTTGCTTTTTTAAAAAATACTTTTATTGTTACAAACTTGAAAATAAAAAATTACAGAAATACGAAATATATGAAATTATACGTGTTGTTGGTTTGATGAATAAAATCTGACTGACTCTGGATGCGAAGCTTCAAAGATGTGCGCTCCTGTAAGAACTGTCTTGTCAGCATCTGGAACAGGGTGGTGGTACTGCTAGATCAGCGGGATTGTCCTAGGTGGTGAGATAATTCGTGTCGCCAGCGACTCGGTCCTCGGCGATCAGGACATATTTTATGCAACTAGGACCACTAAGCCGATTGAGAGTGTTTTTTGTACATTGGTGCAGAATGGACGTTGAAGAAGTTGCAATAGTAGCGTTACTAGTTATGAAGAGAAAAAAAAGAAAGGAAAAGAAAAGTGCCTAACACCAAATCCAAACGATAAAAATTTAAAGTCATCGTTGACCGAGTTGCCGGCGAATAGTCGAAGGCGCTAAACGACACCAAGTGTTAAACTTCAGTTATCCAATGTAAAATTATTCGACAAAAACACTGGATCCTCGACACTATTGGTTCTTCATAAAATAAAGAGATTCAACGTACTATGGCATTCCATTCACAAAGGCGCTAAGCGCACACCAATGTTCATATTTGAAAACGATTCTTGTTCTATCAAAAATATGGACGGCACACATGCCTTTATACATGATAAGAATCTCACATTCTTAGATGGTCAACCGAAAATTCAGGATTAGAATTCACCAAGCTATCTCTACGGCTATCCGTCTATCCCCACACCTATATTCTCTTTATTCATACGACTTCCCCATGTTTGCGAAAACATAGAGAGGAATAGGATAAGACTAAATACGACAAAGACTGAACTTGTCTATTTCACGAATAAATTTACTGATGTGAAGATTTTCAGGAAACTTATGATTAGAATCGAAAGTGCGTGGAAGAACAGAAAAGTGTGAGGTATCTGGGAGTTGTCCTGGATAAGCGCTTGAATTTTCATGGACATTAAAGTTTGGCAATTCGGATAGCGGAAGTGGCAATTAAACGCAACTATCCTCTAATTGTACGAAATTCCAAACTAAGTATTGACAGCAAGCTCCTGATATACAAACAAGTTATCAGACCAACTATGTTGTACGCTTGTCCTGTATTCTGCAACCTCAAGAGGACTCCATTAAGGAGACTTGAGACGATGCAGAATAAGGTGCTTTGATCATGACCAAAAGCGTGTTAGTAATCACACGTCAAAAGGTAAGACCTCGTTAGTCCTGAGCTCGCACAAGTTCGGACTTTTGAGAGTTGTCGTCTGTAGGCGGGCAACAGCTGGTTAACGGAAAACATATTTTTTTAAACAAATCGATACATCTCATTGGAGCGTCTGCGAGACATAGCGGAAGTCAAGCCAATTACGGACCTAATCCGACGGCTTGCTTACAAGCACTTCAAGTGGTTCCTTCCGAAAAGTCCGTTGACTAGTACAATCACGGCAGTTAAAGCAATCAGCAATCATAATCAGCCCCGCCGACATGGAGGGATGATTAATGAATCACTCGACATCTTCCATGAGCGGCATGTTAACGACCATTTGTAAGTTCATGAAAAAACTGGCACAGACAATCTGTCCTGGTTTTTTCATGACCTTTTTTCAGGAGTATCCAGCCAAACACAACAACGACAGTTCATTTTCATTTGAGCAACTTGAATATATCAAATAATTATGATGGGGTTCATGAGTCTTGTCGACAGGACGCACACGATTCAATCGTTTTTTTGTCGGCTCAATGAGCTAACACCGCAGGTGGCGTTCCCCACTGCCTCCTTCCAGCGGGGCGTGAGGGCGCGCTTGTGAGAAGCAGAAGCCATCTGTTATTCTACCCTCCAGGTAGAGAATGCCTGAAATGTAGATGTGTACATAGTATATTTTGATAAAAAGATTTAAATTTTTTCGGTCTATNCTTTTTTAATTATTCTTTTTTACTTGTTTCAGGGATTTCAAATCATTTTATATAATAGACAATGGAAGTCCGAACTAGTGAAATTCATCACGAAACATTGTCAATCACCTTTATCCAGACATGTTTAAATGTACAAAGTTATTGCCTCTTTTTAAAGAAGGAGACAGGTTTCTGATTGGTAACTGTAGACCAATATCAATCATTACCGTTTTGGGAAAAATCTTTGAAATTATTTTGAAGAACAAGGTTCATGAACTTTTTTATTAATAACAAATTATTTAGTGAAGATCAATACGGATTCAGAGCGGGTAGATCAACAACAGATGCAATTCGAAAAACTATGAGTCTGGTTATCGAGGGTCTTGAGAGAGTTGAACATGTGATATGCAATGGGGGGGCTACCACTCAGTTTATTTCAGTCGTACTTATGTAACACAACCCAACCTGTGTGTGTGAATGGAAACATGTCTGACAATAAAACTATCGAGAATGGTGTACCGCAGGGATCCGTTCTGGGACCATTGCTATTCTTGATATATTTCAATGACTTCAGTCATTTTATGTCACCAGGTAAATGTGTTCTTTTCGCAGATGACACAACTCTAATAACGTCTCAGAAAAACATAATCGATTTACTGTCAATTACTGATGATACTCTGAGACAGGCGTCTCTGTGGGTCACAACAAATCAGTTGAAATTAAATGAAAGCAAGACTTGTTTACGACCTCAAATAATGAAACCACTGAAAATGGCGATGATACTGCCAAACTACTAAGACTCACTGTTGACCGGAATCTGTCATGGTATGCACACATGCATACTGAACTGAGTAAGAAGCTGTGTAAGAGTATATTTGCTTTTCGACAGCTAAATAGAGTATTTATTGTCGGTAAATTTTCGTTATGTGGACAACCGGCGATTTTGAAAAAATGTTTGACTGTATTTACGTATTTTGATGCGTAGATTACAAATCCGAGAGAAAAAAGCGGCGCTCTCCCTTATTTAAAAAGTTACGATGCATAAAAATAATACGGCGATGTAAACTAAAAATAAAGTTATTTATCAAATTAATATTGAAGTGAAAGATGAGAGGACTGGCGGTCCCCTACGCTAGTAACCATGCTGGATTCGACGACGAGGTTGTCAGTTTTATAAAAACAGGCCTCCCGAAAAGGAGACGACCAGTAAAAAAAGAAGTGAATGAAAAAACAGGGTGGCAGCATTGCCTTGAAAAAGACCACTGCACCCCAAGACGAAGCTTCTGTTTACTATGGACAGGAGGAGCCTGGCCAAATACGGCCATATAAATTAGAGAGAGAGAGAGAGAGATAGAGAAATCACAACGCTGGTGATGATTTGAATTTATGTTTCGCTCGGCTATTATATGGTTTTAATAAGTAAATAATGTTCGAATTTTACACAGTGTAACACAATAAGAGACTAGTATCACTGAATATGGACTCTCTTGATCTGGACAATACAGTTTTGAACTCCATAGCATTTGAAGATTATGATGTAAAAACGGATAATACTTTTGACAAACCTACAAATAACTACTTCAAGCATATAGGTAATACTTTTGCAATTTTCCTTGACATTCATTTAAAATTGGAAAAACTAAGGTTTATCGTGAATAGACTTTTACTAGAAAGTCCTCAAAATGTTTCAATATTGTTTAAAAAATGTGTCAAACCAAAAATTAAACTACACTAACACATTACACATTTCTCTAGGTAAGTATATCAAAGTGTTGGTGGTGGTAATAGACTTCTCATTTTCTAGAAATTTATTTTCATCATTATTGAAGATTGCCTTGGTCATTCCTCTGCACAAAGGAGGCAATCTTGACAAACTCAAGCAATTTTAGGCTGATTGCCTTGTTAACCGCCTTGTTCAAAGTTGTAGAAAAACCGGTGAACACAAGATATAGCCTTTTTCGAAAAAAACAATATAATGAAGTTGTGCCAGTTTGGGTTTCAATCCTCAGAAGGTGAACAGGATGCTTTATTTGTATTCCTAAAACCCGTTCATCAATCTGAAAGAAAATCTGCGGGTGCTATGTTTTGTGACCAATCCAAAGCTTTCGATTACTGGCTTATATTTTATGATTTCAAAGGATTTGTAAGACGGCTATTGGCCATTCAAGGACTGTAAAAAAAAGCTAACTCAAGTAGACATAGTATAAAGTACACTTTCTCGTTTTATTTCCAAATAATTGCCTTAACTAGTGGAAAAGTTGATAACAAACAGCACATTATTGACAAGAAAATATTTTGTTAAACAAGTTGAAAGCACACAGGTATTTTATAATTTTGTTAGCACTAGGCATTAGCATTATTATAGTTTCATGCATGTCCTGAAATATCTTGCATATTACTCCAGGATTTTCTAAAATCCGATTCTTAACACATTATTTATAATTGTATAAGGTTTCAATTTTTTTGTAATGAGGCAATTTGTTAAAAAAATGGGTGCAAGTAATAAAAATGTATCTGATCTGTCACTTTTTTAATGTTTTTTTTCCAAACTTTGTTCCAGTATATACCTTTTTACACTTTTGCATAATTTCTAATTTTTTCACATAAATTGTCCTGCCAACAAACTATATACTAACAGATACAAATAATTTTTTCATCATTAAAGGTTTTTTTACACAACTGTATAAAACTTATCAAAAAAACTAGTGAAACCATATTAAAACTCATAATAAACTTAAGAACTTACAGGAGAATATAAAAAGTCAGCAGATTACACACTGTCATCATTTACTCTTCCTTGTTCACAAACTTATTCACATTCTACACAAACTCACAGACAATCTTTGTACATGCATAACTAAACTTCTAATTATTAGCATCAAACAGTGAGGTACTCCTCTATTGTATAAAACATTTTCATTTAGATAATTAAACAATGTTGTTTTGAAGATATTAAAACTTTTTATCTCGCCAAAGATCCTATTGAAACAGTTATAACATAGAATTCCTTGGTATTTTGGAGAATTCTGTCCCACAAAGCCTAGAGACTGGTAAGCGAATGTCATTTTTATTACGTGTTTGGTGTTGGTAAATTTCACTACTTTTATTGATGATGGGTTTCCATATGTTGCGTATTTCTACGCTGGCTTGGCCGAATACGTTGTTGGACAACATGTATGCGGCTTTCTTGAATTTTCTCCTAAACCAATGTTCTCTGTGTAAGATCTCAGCTTGGGACCACTCGATGTTGTGTTGATGGGTCCAAACATGGTCTGCTATTCCTGATTTGCTGGAAGGGGCAGCGAGGGGAAGATTAAAACTGACTCTTTGAAGATGATCAATTGGTGATCGAAACACGTGTCGAGGTATTAAAAATAACGATTTGGTGTTGGGAAAAAACTCCAGTAATATTCATGACAAATGCTGATATCCTAAGAATATCATATTTCTCCTTATTTCGTTCTACCCTTTCGTATGGTATTTCACTTTGGGGAAACCTATCTAATTCAGATGTCAATAAAAGGTCATTTGGATCTTGGTAAATCTTGGTTATAGGAACTATTGTGGTGAGCAATTCATTCAACTTAGTATTATACCACTGCTCAATTCGTATATTCATATTAGCATTAAAATATATTAAATTGTTACGGATAACTCAGAAACTCATAACTACAATACAAGATCAGCTGAGATATAGATATATCGACTGCTATAGAAACTCGCTGAATTTTGATCTTTACAATGTACTAACTACAAAACTAGAACTACAAAACTAGTGTTTTTATGATATGAGTTTATTAGCTAAGCCAATTATTTAATTTCTGTGAATGTTTTTATTTACATTTTTGAATTTGTATTTATTTTTTATTATAAGTATGTGTCAACAGTTGTCTGTATTTGCATACTATTTTCTCGACATCCATTATATGACTTGCCATAACTGTTAAAAGTGAAGAACTCTAAAGTTTGTCAACATGTGGTCTGAAATCCATTTTCTCTCTCTTTAACTTTCTTATCAGTTAGAAACGCTCTGGGCCCGTAAACTATTGAAATTTACTGAGTTTAATTACAGAAGAATATAAACAAATTGGTAAATTAAAAACTAGACCGACAGTTTATTGTATTATCAACAACTCTAAATGAACATTTCAAAAATACAGAGCAGCTGTTTTGCTTTCTTCAACAGTTGATATAATAAATTTGATTCGCCAGATTGGCTCACTTGTATACTTCTCAGGACTGTTGAAATTTTCGAAAAAATGTTGTTAAATGACATACTAATGTACATGGTCATGGAACATATTTCCATCTATTCTTATTGTCAATTTCTTCCATGGATGGATGGAAACATTACTTTCTGCTATATTACATAAAGGTTCCTATGGAGTTTAATCCCTACTCTCTGAAAGTGGATTGATATGAGCATTGCAATAATTCTGTGTGCTTTTATCAAAATATCGAATAAATAGGATTCATATTTCAACAGCCTCTGTCTCATTGCCACTTTCACAAACCTTATACTCGTAATTCACAATTTCCAAATGACCTTTTGATTTGAAATATACATCACACTCTAGTGTTAGGTACCTATCACTAATACATTAAGACACTTTACTCTGAACAAATAGTTTATTCCCCAAAATAATGTATTGCCACAACAAACGTATATATCCTACTCTAGTCTACTTAATAATGAATATTTCCCGATAAATAGCTGCTTCCATGAATCATCCCCATTGAGCATAACTGGACTATCGATATACAGTGCGGTTGCTCCTAACACTAGCAAGAATAGCGTAGCCACTAAAAATGTATAATCAGTTGTTACTCGTACGTAGTTGTTATTTCCCGATAAACAGCTGCTTCCGTGAATCATCCCCATTAAGCATAACTGGACTATCGATATACAGTGCGGTTGCTCCTAACACTAGCAAGAATAGCGTAGCCACTAAAAATGTATAATCAGTTGTTACTCGTGTATTAAAATAAAAGTACTTCATGTATCTACCTATATAAAATTCAGTTTCTCAGTCAAATACATGTTGCACTAAGTGACCTTTCTAGAATATTTGATCTTTCATTTTTACAGTTCAAGATAATTTCATTTACTCACACTACTGTTTAATTTATTAATGTTATTCTTTCTAAGGTGTGTCATGTAAGAATGATTCAATATATCGACGTCTGTGAATTAAATAGTGCGAGCACATACAAATATGCACAACAGACAAAATATAATTTAATTTAATTTGAAATCTGCTTTTAGGTAAATCTAGTGGCATCGATTCTCTATCTTCGTTCGAAACTGTTGATACCACTGGTTTGTCACCAAACCATGATTTATTATCAAAAAATAAACGACACATTGAATCCACTCCTGTATCTCAGGAAAAACGTTTGAAAACGGATGATGCATCCTTCGCCCAAAACAAACAACACAATGGAATTTTACAAAATACCCTAGATTGTGTGAACGTGTCAAAAACGGTATGTAGAAATAATAATGCAGATATACCTGAGTTTGATGCTTTTGCAAATTATTTACATAACTCTTTCTCACCAAAAAGTGGAATCTGTATGCAACTGTTGCAGAAAGAAAAATGCTGTGCATTTCAAGAAAATGAAGAAAATAATTTAATGGATTCTACACAGTTCATAAGCACTCAAGCTATTGATGAAATTGAAAGCACAATCGAGTCAAAAACCACCAATTGTAATTCAGTAACGTCTGATGAAACCTCAAAATTACCATTGCTACTATCTTTCAGAGAGAGGCTAAAATTCAAAGAGTGTGTTAAAGAAACCAGCATTGATAAAGAAATCGGTGAGAGATCTGTTCTATTTGAAAATGAAGAAATAACAACACAGTATAGACAAGAAGTTGATAATCTTTTTGAACAAATAGAACATTCCATTTATGCAATGGGCATTGAAAATGCTGAGCAGAGTGTTTCTGACAAAATCTTAGATATTATCTTCAGCGATGACTTGAAAGAGCATCAAGACAGTAATCATGAAAATACTGAAACAGCTATGCAGTGGCCTGAAGAATCTGGTTTAACTGGGAGTAACTTCAATTTGAGCTTTAGTAGTGTCATCAGAAAAGCTTTGATCAATAATGCTTCTAAAACACACCCTAGGAAAGCCTTTGATTCCACTTTGAATTTGACATTTTCTGAAAAAGTAGAATTTCATAATTTAGGACCATTTTATGGTATGCCTGCTAAAGTCAAAGATCTGATCAAGCAATACAAAGGAATAGATAATTTGTATGGTAAGTAACAATTCAAGAATTTCTAAAATTAATTTCAAAGTTAAATATTCATTTTATGATAATTGTTCAATTCATGCGAATTTGAAATATTATTATTTGTTTCAGATTGGCAAGAAGAATGTTTAAAATTACCTGCCATAGAAAATAAAAAGAATTTGATATATGCTCTTCCTACTAGTGGCGGCAAAACACTGGTGGCAGAAATACTTATGTTTCGTGAAGTAATGTGTTACAAACGTAATGCTTTATTGATTTTACCATATGTGTCAATCGTGCAAGAAAAGGTATATTCAGTTTTATGACATGAACTATAATTTTTGAAAATATTTGTTTATCAGGTGTGGGCTTTATCTCCCTTTGGAGTAGCTTTGGATTTTCTTGTAGAGGAATATGCATCAAGTAAAGGTATATATCCACCAAGGAAAAGAAGAAGAAAAAATTGTGTTTATGTTGCCACAATAGAAAAAGCATTAGGTATTGTAAATAGTCTCATTGAAACAGGCCGAATGAGTGAAATAGGACTTATAGTTGTTGATGAACTTCATCTTATTGGAGAAGAAGGAAGAGGTGCTACATTGGAGGCTACTCTAACCAAAATCATTTATATAAAAGGCAACTATTTTTTTATCCAGTATGTAACTCAGTGAGTAAATCATAGCATATTATTTTTCAGCAAATACTCAGATAATAGGAATGAGTGCTACAATAGGTAACCTACCAGACATCTGCAAATTCCTAGATGCTGATGTTTATACCAAAAATTTTAGACCAGTTGAATTGACAGAATATGTTAAAGTTGACAATGAAATAGCAAAAATAAATTGGAATTACTCCAAAGAGGAAGAATTGCTGATTGACAACAAAAAAATAAATTACAAGGTATTTATTCTCGTATTATAATTCTTTTGCAATGATAAATTTCCTTGAGAATAATCACTTTACTCGACTTGATAACTAGTACCTATGGTCTGCAAGACTATATCAATGAAGTATAAAATAAGTAATGGTAATAATAAATTGTATTTGATGATGTCAAAAATTCAGTTCAGAGAAAATATTTTTCTTGAAATTTACAAAAGCTAACTCTCTCTTCTCTGTATTATTTCTTTATTCATTACCTACCTTAGATATTGAAGATAAGTAGAAATCCAATCATTCTAAGATCATTGGGGAGACTGAAGAAAATAAATATTCGAATTAAAACACGAAACATTCATCTCTCCCAGCTTTCCTATGTGTTGAAATTTACGAAATACTGTCAGGAAACAACTACTTTGTCTGATAGCTTATGTTACCCTAAATATTGGTTTCACGTCTTGCTTCTCTAAAATTATCCCAGTCCGCTCTGTAATATTTTCAACATAGGGAAGGAAAGCTTTTTCCTTGATCAGCCCAGCTGGGGTTACTTCGCTGTTGCCACTCCCTTTTAAGGCATTTTTCAGGCAATTGAGATCCTCCAGAAGACTCTCAGGTTCACAAATACGTCTTGTTCTCTCAACCAACGTTTTAATTACTGTAACGTTAATTTTTCGCATCAAGACGAATCACCCATTTTATATTTACAATCTGCAATTGTCTTCATGACCGTATATTAGCCTAGTGTAGAACTCTTTAGTTTCTGCCTGAATTAAGGGCTACGTTGCTAGCATACTGTTTTTGTTAAATAGGTGAGTAATCTAGTCACTGCTGGATGGCGTGGGCAGTTCCTCAGGTTGAATTAATAAGGTGGTGGGCGCGCATTTCGAGAGTGAAAACATAAAAGTTTGGCCTCTCTCGACGGAAAACGTGGTTTTGGTATGCAACAGGTGTTGAAGTGCTGAGGTTAATTTTGTATTATACCTTCTGGATTTGGATTCCAGGATTTCACTCCGCCTGTATAATTTTGGGCAAGTTGTCGGCATTTGAGTCGTATAGTTTTAGTGACGACAATCATTGGTTAAACATTTTGCATATCATGTGTGTCTATTTTCCACCATTTTGGGTATTCTTAGCATCATTATCACTCATTTGTTAAAGACTTGGATAATCAATCGTATTGACCATTTGATTCACCTCAGCGGACTTATTTGTTGCCAAAGCCGTGAGAAAACATTCTGCCCTTTTCGAAGGGTTCTAGTGCAGGGCACAAAACATGTACTTTGTGGCCCAGTAAAGTCATTTCAGCCCTCAACACAGGAGCCGTCCATTGAAGCAGAGATAGAATCCACAGGGAATGCCAACCGCCTTTTTTTCCAGCAAGTACCATTACTGATGTTTACTCCTGGTATTCAATCATTATTTTCAACTGAACCGACTTTGACCATAACAGAAGAATATTTATTCTTTTGGACATTTTCGCGTTTTGAGACCCCCAGTGGGTCATTGTTCCGTTTAAAAGTATTTAGAAATTGTAAATTTAAAGAATTGTCATATAAGGGACTCATTCCTTGAACTACTTCAATAGTTTATTTACTTATCCTTACTATATATAAGTTAGGGTCTTTTTTTTTGGAGGCTGTCGGACACTATTCTATTGAAGTCTCGCCATAACCACGCAATTTAATGTTTGTTTTAAAAGAGTGGATCCCGTAAACGTGATATGGACATACCATGGTAACCTCCATGGTAACTTCATCGCATTTGTCATTTATTCCACCCTGAATGTTCCTGATTGCTGACTCATTACCATAGTTACCGACTAACGTTACGTAAGCAGGATTGTCGTGCTATATGGTTGAAAATAAACAGTGTTGGTGGCTTGTATGTATATATTTTGATTTCACTAGACATACCCACCCGTTGAATTTCTATCATTGTGTTCCACTATTTCTAGGTTTCGCGAGTGGATTATTATGAGAAGGCACTGGAGGGTAAGGTAAACCTTGTGGCGCCCTAATAATTAAGAACTTTCATATGAACCCCGCCTGCTCCACTGTTATAAAGCTAGGACGGCCCATGCCGATGCCCTGTCGCCTTCAAGGGTAGAATGAGCCAGACCCTATCAAAATCAAATTATTTTCCCGAATTTTGATACTCTATCTAACATTTGTCGATACTTTGAAATATTTTGGCACTTTGAAATTTCTTCAGACTTTAGTAATATTTTTCGACTTGTATTATTTTCCCGAAGTTTGACACTTTAACAATTGTGGATACTTTGAAATATTTCGGCACTTCGAAATTTCTTAGGACTTAAAAATATTTTTCGATTTGTATTATTTTCCCGAATTTTGACACTAACAATAATTGTCGATACTTTAAAAGATTTTGGCACTCTGAAATTTATTCGAACTTGAACATATTTTTGATTTATACTAGTTTTCAAAGTTTAATACTTTACTAATTATACATACTTAGAAACATTGTGTTACATTTGTGGACTAGGTCGCGAATTTAGATGGTTCAACAACCTTTGATACATTGGGATGGTTCATATTTCGAGACTTCTTTGGACTTGCAGTTATTTTTTTGTATTGGGGTTGAAATTTTGATTGATACTGAATTTGGCGTCACATCACCACTCTTTTTTGTTTTGGCAGGCGGTTAGATTTTTTCTTCTGGTACCTGTCTGTGTTGGTTTCCTGTCGACTATCTGGCCCAATGTACCATCTTCACGTCTGTTCACTAAAACATCCAAAGAGGCTAGAGCCCCTTAAATTAATTTTTTCATTATGAATTGTATTTTTGTGTCGATAGAGTTTAGATGTAATAGAAAATCGTTAACATAACGCATCCCACAATATAGTTTCACTTGATTCACGACCGCTTGCTCTGAAGCCCGTTGTTTAAAAATTTCCAGTGGAAATAAAGTTAATGATAAACAATGAGCGAAGAGTGCGGTTATATCTGCTGGGAATACTTCGCTAAATAGCCGTATCGTGTCCTTGATCGGACATCGTGTATAAAGAGACTACGTCGACGCTCGCTCACTAGTATGCCTCCAGGACATAACTTCATATTTGTACTCTTTTCAATAAAGTGTCCCGAGTCCTTAATAAATAACTATATATTTCATATAAATGGTTGCAGTAGGATTGTCAGGTATTTGGCCAGCTCATGTTTCATGGTGAGTTTCATTAACTCGGACTTCCATTGTCTAATATTTTATAATATTATTTGAATTCTTTAATTTTTTTATTTTATTGTAATTTCATTTAAGGTTTTTTTTGCTCAATATAATTGTTGTTTTCAGCTATTCATTTTGATTTTCAATTGAGGGATTTCAAATCATATATCATATTTGACAATGAAAGTCCGAACTAATAAAATTTATCATGAAACATTATCAACCGCCTTCAAACAAACATTGAACACCCGGTACGGACCCGGTAGCAGCGACTTATTCCGAGGATATGAAAAGATTATGGTCAAGCTTACCAAGATAGAAACTCATCTCAGTTTCTTGTGGAGAGCGAGAGACAACAACATCATCTCCAAAGGTTTTCTGCTGAAATCGACAGTCCCAGGAAAGAGAGTCAAACGCATATTGGAACGCGCCAGCCGAGCACATAAGTTCTCAAATTAATTACCACCGTTGGAAGAGGTCAACTCTTATGCAGGATGCCACAGAACGATTTGAAGAAATAAGAAAAGAGACCTTGGAAGAGGATTATGGACCAATCTTTGCCAAGATTGAAAGCATGTGCTTGAAGATCCGCCAAGACAGAAAGTATGTGCATGAAGATCCGCCAAGACAGAAAGCACGTGCCTGAAGATCCGCCAAGACAGAATACCTACAACAGAAAGTGGGGAAAGTTGGCGAGGAAACAATGCCCAAATGCAAATCGAAAACAAGACAACTACGAAGCTGCCAACGTCACCACTATGAGTTTCCGCCTGCTCACGGACATAGAGGAATCCTTGTTGACTAAAGGTCTAAACTTCGCCATTGCGCCCACATTTGGGCCGACTTTGGATATAATTACTGCAGTGGAAACCACCGATTCCTTTATTGATCAGACCGAGGCAGAAGAATTTATATGGAAACGCAGAAAACAGCGGATCGAGAACCAGTTCCAACATCTAACAGCGATGAAGAACGAAGCTCTCTGAACGGCCTACGTAGAGATAACACCATCGAGATCCTACCTGTAGATAAGGGAAACTCTACTGTTGTGATGGATACTGATCTCTAGGAACAGAAGATCAAATATGTTCTTCAGAACAGACAATAAACGAAGATTGCATGGGACCATACTGCATCAATTGAAAGATTTTTTAAGGGCTGTATCAGACTTTGAAAAAACACCAAGTCTATTTTTCGGAAAAGGAGACATCATCGCTAACACCGCACCACACTAAGCCACCTCACTTGTATGGACTACCCAAAATTCAGAAGAAAGGTGTTCCGCTCAGACTGATCATTGGCTCTAGCGATTCAGCTACACAAAAACTGACCAGATTTTTACTTCCTACAATACAACCACTACAAGAAAAAACTTCCATATTTTGTGAAGAATTCAAGGCATTTTGTCGAATTACTAGGGGCAATCGAAATCGCAGAGCAAGATTAATTGATCAATTTCGGCGTGGAAAGTCTTTAAACCAATGTTCCTGTCTAAAAAGCATTTCATGTCATACAGAGGAAGCTAACCGAAGACGAGGACCTGGAAAATAGGACGAACTTACTTATAGAAGTAATCATGGAATTACTAGGATGCTGTGTACGGAATTGCTAATTCCAACTGAAGGAGGAATTCTTTAAGCAAGATGAGAGACTGCCAATGGGTTTACTACTATTACCAGTTATAGCCGACACCTTGATAATATGGAACCATGGAAATACAGAACTAGACACTTTTCTGAAGCACATTGACAGTGTGATACCTTCCATCATCTTCACAATGAATTGCCATTCTTAATGAAAAGGACCGACACCGAGTGGGAATCATCTGTATACC